CAGGGAAAGTTGAAACCCGAGCTAGTAGCAAGAGGATCCTAGAAGCAAGCTAAATTCCCACTACGGATCCTCAAATAAGATCAGAAATTAGAAGTTCCACTTATTTCTGAAAGTAGTGGTAAATGCTGATCTGAAAATAAAAAGCTTGATTGTAAAGCATCCACTATAGCAGCGAGAAAATGCTTCACACACACACCCCACCACTTCTCTCAACCCTGCTATACTCATTGCTTTCATTTTCTCACTTCCCATTCATTTTCCTTTGTGATTTAAAAATAAAATTATATTAATTAAAATAAACAGCTAAATTTCTAGCCCTCTGTCTCCAACCTATACAGTAGGATAAGTGCTAATACCTGCATTCCAGCAGAAGACTGAAGGTTTATCTCCGAACGAGTTAAATCAGAGTCTTTGACTCAGGGACACCTGGTAGAGCTGAATGGCAAGATTCCTCCTCCTGCTCTTCCCCTCTCTTCTTCCTTGACTCACTAGGGAATATGCTAGAAAGCAGACAGATTTTACAATTCCTCTCTGGTTTTTTCTGTCTGCCTAGAAGTAGAGATCTCCAGATTTCATCATTTGGGTTCCTCCAACAAAAGTGTGCAGCCTGGTCACCTACCACTCCTCCACGGACAAGCCCTCACACAAAGTTTTTAATTAACTTTCAGTGCATCTGTTTAAAATATGAATGGACATCTAGAAATCACCTGACAATTGGGAAAGCCTTTGACACAAAGGACCTCAAGCCCTCACACAAAGTTTTTAATTAACTTTCAGTGCATCTGTTTAAAATATGAATGGACAGCTAGAAATCACCTGACAATTGGGAAAGCCTTTGACACAAAGGACCAAAAACAAAACAGATAGGAAAATGAGACAATGAAGAAAATAGAAGAAAATGTCAACAACAAAAACATTCTAATATCCTTGGAGACAGGTAAAGGTATAGCACCCCTGGAATAAGAAGAGGGATCTGTAAAAATGTAACATTGAGAGAAGAAAACGATAGCACTTGGAAATTAAAAGTATGATAGAGGAAAGGGAAATATTAACCAAAGGGTTAATAGATAAAGTTGAGATAAAAGATAAAGTTGAGAAATCTCTAGGAAATTAGAACAAAAAAATAAAAATGGAGAAAATGTAAAAGTAAAACATAAGGAAATTTAAAACTTAGCCCAAATGATCCACAATCCAAATAGTGGAAATTCCAGAAAGAGAAGAGAGAAAACAGAGATGATGAAGTTATCAAATAAATAATTTCATATCATTTCCAGAATTGCAAATGAATTGGAAAATCAAAGCATATCATCTTGTCATTCTGGAACACTGAGAGAAAGGGATGCTTCTAAAAACATCTGGAGACAAAAAATAGTTATATGCAGTTTTGGAAATTAAAAGACAAGAAATTAAAAGACCTAGAAATTAAAAGACAAGGAATTCTCAGGGAAAATTACTTACAACCTTTAACTCGACACCCAGCCTAAATATTAGTCAAGTGTAAGAACAGAATTTTAAAAATATCAGACATGCGAGGATTTAGAAAGTTTATAACACAAGCATACTTCTTAAGGGTAAGTGAATTAATACTCCTTCAACATGGCAGAAAATCTATATAGTGTCGAAAATTGATAGTGAAGAAATAGAGGTATAAAGCATGGGATTTAGAGATTTGTAAGTAGCCACCAGAAGAAAGAAACATCAACAAGACTACCCAGTGATTGGGAGAATTGGAGGACCAGGGAGCCTCTGAGTATTGATGTTCTTCCTTGCAAGTTTTGCTCTATTTGATATTTTTTAAACAATCTGCACATACTACTTTGATAAAATAATTTATTTGAGAATCAAAAAAGGAAAATGAATGGAAGGATGGAAAGCAAGATGATGACAGGAATGACTATAACAGAGTTAGAGGTGGTGGGAGACATTTTCGTTGTAGTGTAGGGGACTCCTACACATATGAGGCTCTTCAATCCACACAGTGACTAGAAGAGAAAAATATCATTATGCCATTTTAGAGATGAGGAAACTGAGGCTCAAGGAAATTAAAGGAACTGGCCCAAAGTCACACAGCTTAGAACTGGCAGTGCTAAGGCCGAAGCAATGTTTGTCTGGCTTCAAGGCTCAATCGTGTTCCACTACGTAGCTTTGAATGTTGGCAAACAAGAGAAGAGAGAGATTGGAACCTAGGATGAGAGGATAACAGTGAATTTTGGCAGAGGAAACACAAACATTCATGTAAGTTGAAGGTAAAGAGTCATCAGAGGCTAAGAATTGAAAGTACCAGAGAGAGAGAAGGAATAATTGAGTGGAATTGGAATAGCAAATAAAAATATTGCTCCCTCAGTTACATTTGAATGGCAGACTAACAACAAATTTTTTTAAGTATATGCCCCAAAGATTGAGTGGTATTTTATCTGGCAATCCTTAAAGAGAGACACTAAAGCATGCATAAAGAACAGCAAAGCTGCTTTGAAATCAGGAATTTGGAAGGGAGCAACCTTAGTGTGAGTTGGGCATCAGATGGCAACCTCGGTGGGAGGAGAAATAAGATAGGAACAGTGGACTTGGCTTCCAGGCAGCAGCAGAAAGAGAGCTGGGCTAGCTGCCAAGAGATAGCTTGAGGTACAATTCTTAGGGACTTTCTTGAGAACAGCGAGTGAGAAATAGAGACTTGGAATCGGCAGGGTAGCCATTGCTGGAAAAAGCTTTGCCTGCTTTTTAATTTTGCCTGAGTGGTCATCTACGTTTTACATCTCTTAAGTGTGTACTAAGGATGCATATTACTAAATAATTATTGACAAAGTATTTGGATTCTTTAGAACATTGGCTCAATATTAAATGTTGTCATCGCCAATGATATTCACAAGAAAAGGACTGATTTCTCTTATGAAATTCTTCGCCATGTCTGAGGTTTATCATAGTGGTTTGGAGTAACGGTTGAGTCTGCAGCCTGTCTAGGGTCATATCCCATATTAACCAAGTTGCTTAATATGTCTGGAACTCAGTTTCCTTGTTTGTAAAATTAGGGTAAGAATAGTACCTAACTTGTAAGGTTATTGTAAAGATTAAATGAGTTAATATGTGTAACACTAAAAGTATAAACTTACATTAGATATCATAGGCAGACAGTAAGATATTTTAAAAACATTCATTGATATATGTATGGATGTATAAACTTTGCAAACATGCATAGTCAGGAAATAAGTCGTTTTTAAAGGACATTAATTATATACATTTTGTAGACATGTACGGTCAGAAATGGGTACAAATTTAAAACTTTAAATCTAGAATCTGCTTTCTTTCAGGAATATACATACGTTTCAATTCCTTAACTGTTTATTGACTGATGGCATTTGAGCTTGGAGACAAGGCATTTGCTGTATTTAAACTTGAAACCTAGCCCTGCCACTCACTAGCTGGGAAGTGGACAATCACTTAAGCAATACAATGGCCAACAATGCTTGCTTGCTTCACAGAGAAAAGTGTCAAATTAATCTATCACATGCTTGATACAGATGGAGTGTGCAATTCACTTTAATTCCTTTCCTTTTAAAAAAACTTCTAAGTTAGTTTATGGGGGTGTGGCGGGAAGGGGGGCGTTGCTAAGTCCCCACTTCTGTCCCGCTGGGTAGAGGCAACATATCTCCTCTTTTAAAGTAAATCTTTTAAATAAAGTTAAGTCCTCAAATCCAATCAGAGTCTATTCTGGAGTCTGGAGGACCATCATCTTAATTTCCACGTGGCATGCACATACTGTTTAAATTTGTGGTACCTGTTGGGTGCAAAGCCATTGATGCGGGGGTTTTAAGCAGCTGTGAATTAACTGTCATTTTTTTTCTTTTTGCAAATTCATAAAATCCCAGAAGCCAGGGGTCTGTTGTTTATTCATTCAGCCTCCTTCTGAGTCATTCAGGTACAGGGTGTGTCAATTGAAACTGCACAGCGGAGGAAGTTTTGAGTTCACATCTGCCAGGATGGGAACGCAGTGCGACCAGGGACTGGGTGGAAACCTTTGTGTTAACAGTAGGGCAGGTGTAGAAGTGCCCTGAGCTTGTCAATCAGATCTGAGTAAGGCCACCTCTCAGCATCACGTTCTTAAGCAGCATCTAAGCAAAAGGAAAGGGTGGGTGAAGTGTGAGTATTGAGATTTGGGGGCCTCTGAGCTGCCTCCCAAGTAGAAAAGGGCTCCGGGCCCCAGCCGGGCAGCTGCAGGCACTGGGCTGGGCTGGCCTGGCGGCCCTTTGGAAATTCCTCAGCCGCCCATACTTAAAACATTTCTCCGGACTAGGCAGCAGCCCACCTCCTTAAAGGCCTCACCACCGGCCAGAATCTGGGACACACGGCCTGACATTGCACCCAGAGGAGTGAGGGGAAGCCCCCACCAACATCAAACCCGGCACTGGCCCATTTCACTGTGCGGCCCGGGAAAGCCACTTTCTGCCCCTTAGACTGCAAGCTTCAAAGCAGCACCGGGATCAGGGGTAGACGGAGGAGAGGGAGCACAGGACGCTTCCAGTCCATTCTCCCTCCGGGGCTGCTCGTCCCTTCCTACCTCTCGCAGCCCCTTCCCAGCCTGTCCTCCACAGAGCGCAGCCGGGACTCGCCGGGCAGCGGCTCCGGCCTCCGCTGCCCGCGCGGAAGTGGCCCCGGGGGCGCCCGGCCGCGCTCTCGGGACTCGGATCCTCCAAGGGCTGCGGAGGTGGAGGACTGGGGAAGTGTGCTGACTGCCTCACGGCTGTCCTCTGAGCCCTACGACTTTTCGGAAGAAGAGTTTTCCAAGGCTCCCCACCTCTTCTCTCTTCCAGGACTCGGGAGAATCCTCTTCAGCGCCCAGGCGCGGCGGGGGCCGTGATTTATACACCAGAATCCAGAGGGCACCAGGCTCCGCCCCTCTGTGGTCCCCCCACCCCCGGCTGGGGAGGAGCGGGTCGTTTTTTTCTTTTTGCTTCTGCCGCTGATCTTTCCTGGACAGTGCATCTCAGCAGCCCAGATCCGGGGGCCCCCAGCCGCCGGCGGAGGGCGTGGGGTCACAGCACTGACCCCTCCCCGTCTCTTCCAACCTCGGTGCTGCGCTCGGCGACTTCGCGTCGCAGTCGGGCGTGGGCCGCGGCGACAGGGGTTGGCCACTGGAGTGCACGCTGCGGAGGAGGAGACCCCGGGGCGAGTAAGTTTGCGAGAGCGCGACGCAGTCAGTCGGGGGAGCGGCAAGATGCGCAGCGCACCGTGCAGACCCGGAGCTCGCCCGGCGCCACTGCGTCCTGCCTGAGAGAGGTAGGGGCTGCGGGCGGCGCGGACGCGGGCCGGGGGGCAGCGGCGTCTGGGACGAATTTTAAAACCGGAACAAAGAAAACAAAACTCTGAAACGTGCATCTCCTAGCAACTACGGAGCTCAACTCAATCGGATTGTTCTTGGGGACACTAGTGATTTATGGAGTTTGGAAAAGTGTTAGTTCCCAATTGTAAGAACAGATTGGCGGGGCAGAGTGGAAGCTATGGTGGTCGGAGGAGAGGACGGAAAGGCTTTTTTTTTGAAATCCTACGGACAAAGAATATGGGGGTTGGGGGTGATGGCTTAAACTTGCACTACCCACAAGCAGGGTGTAGAATTAGATGGGGGAAATGCGGAGCCTCCTGGCGCGAACAGCATCTGCTGTCCGGGGAATTGCTGGGATTGCTGCCTCCTCTATTGCAGTACTTCACTTTTAGCACATTGCTGTATTGCCTCGAACCATTTAAACAACTTAAAAACAGACTTTTGTTGACCAGCGCAGTGTGTCGTACTTTTCACACTTTTCTGAAAGTTCGATGGGAGAAAGCAACACGTTGGGGACTGGAATAAAATAAAACTGTCCACGCAAGCTTAGCAATGCCACAGATGTCTGTTTAGGCGAGTTGCTGGAGAGTAGTTCTGCACTCGAAATTAGGAATGGGGTGGCATGTATTATTATCATCAGCAGTGTGTGTGCGCTTCTGTGTGTTGGCTCAATTAAACTAAAGATGCTTATGCTATCGAATAATGCACGAAACTTCTGTGACTTGTGCAATATCTTATGAATGGTTTTCACTGAATACCTTTAAATTTACTTGCACTGTCTTGCGGGGGAAAAAAAGAAGAAGAAAAAAGACAAGGCAGAGCTCTAAGCTTTCCTGTTTACCGCAAGGCGGGGCGGGCCTGGCTGCCTCCACCTCACCGCGCCCTAGGACCCCAAGCACACCTGCTCCTGGAGGGTTATTAATAGAGCCCCCCAAATGACTTATGCTGTCAAACGATTTTTCCCGCAAATCTAAATTCTTGCATGGTAATGAGGAGGTGGTGCTCGTCTCTTTGGGTTGGGGGGGTGTGGGGGGGAGGAGGATAGAGGCTTTGGGTCTCAGCCTTAGGAGAGACCGAGTGCTGGTGGTGAGCGCGCAGCTGAGCTGGTGTCGGCTTCAGAGAATCTCCCTGCTGGAAAACCAGGGGAGGAGGGGAGGTCAAAGTGGGGGAGAGGGGCGAGTGTAGCTAAAATGCAGCCCACTTCTGTAGGTTTCCCATTTCCGTATGAGTTGATGTGACCATAGAGTTTTCATCTTGTCCAGTTGGGATTTTCAGTTACGGCAAATTTTTGGTTTTTCTTTCTCTCTTTCCTCCCTCTCTTCCTTATTTATTATTAATATTATTTTTTGCAAAAACTGATAATTTGATTTAAAAACAAAAAACAAAATACAAAAACAAAAAACCCTTCTCCCTGTGCTTTCCCCAAGTTTCCTTAAGACAAATCAACAACAAAATTGGAGCAATGCCTTAGCTAGAATGAATTATGCCAGTGTACTGTGGCTTTTCCCTGACTCTCCTCTTTGTGACTTGTTTAGGGCGGCGGTTTCCGAAGCCCTCTCCAAGCCAAGGAAAAGCGACACAAAAAGCCTGGATCTTTCACTGCACCGTCCTTGCAGCGAGTGAAGGCTCTCTCTGCCTCGCCCTCTAGCGTTCATCCGGAGAAGCGCCACCCCCGGGTTCCTGGGGACCCAGTGCGGCACCATGGGGCCCACCAGCATCCCGCTGGTCAAGGCCCTCCGCAGCTCGGTCTCCGACTATGTCAACTATGATATCATCGTCCGGCATTACAACTACACGGGCAAGCTGAATGCCAGCGCGGACAAGGAGAGCGGCATTAAACTGACCACGGTGGTGTTCATTCTCATCTGCTGCTTTATCATCCTGGAGAACATCTTCGTCTTGCTGACGATTTGGAAAACGAAGAAGTTCCACCGCCCCATGTACTATTTCATCGGCAACCTCGCCCTCTCAGACCTGTTGGCCGGGGTGGCCTACACAGCCAACCTGCTCTTGTCTGGGGCCACCACCTACAAGCTCACCCCCGCCCAGTGGTTTCTGCGAGAAGGGAGTATGTTTGTGGCCCTGTCCGCCTCCGTGTTCAGCCTCCTCGCCATCGCCATCGAGCGCTACATCACCATGCTGAAGATGAAACTGCACAACGGGAGCAACAGCTTCCGCTCCTTCCTGCTCATCAGCGGCTGCTGGGTGGTCTCCCTCATCCTGGGTGGCCTGCCCATCATGGGCTGGAACTGCATCGGCGCGCTGTCCAGCTGCTCCACGGTGCTGCCGCTCTACCACAAGCACTATATCCTCTTCTGCACCACGGTCTTCACTCTGCTCCTGCTCTCCATCGTCATTCTGTACTGCAGGATCTACTCCTTGGTCAGGACTCGCAGCCGCCGTCTGACCTTCCGCAAGAACGTTTCTAAGGCCAGCCGCAGTTCCGAGAAGTCGCTGGCGCTGCTCAAGACCGTGATTATCGTCCTGAGCGTCTTCATCGCCTGCTGGGCGCCCCTCTTCATCCTGCTCCTCCTGGACGTGGGCTGCCAGGTGAAGACCTGCGACATCCTCTTCAGAACCGAGTACTTCCTGGTGCTGGCGGTGCTCAACTCCGGCACCAACCCCATCATTTACACTCTGACCAACAAGGAGATGCGCCGGGCCTTCGTCCGGATCATGTCCTGCTGCAAGTGCCCCAGTGGAGACTCCACCGGCAAATTCAAGCGACCCATCATCGCCGGCGTGGAGTTCAGCCGCAGTAAATCAGACAACTCCTCCCACCCTCAGAAGGACGATGGGGACAACCCAGAGACCATCGTGTCTTCTGGAAACGTCAACTCCTCCTCCTAAGACTGAAGGCTGCCGACCCGTGGGAAGCGCTCTTCCATGGTCGCCCACCACCCCCGCGTGTGGCGCTCGACTGCCGCCAGGGAGGAGCGGGAGTGGGGGCGAGCACGAACAGCCTGGTGGCGCTGGGTGTTGGTGGGTAGAGTTAGTTCTTGTGAACAATGCACTGGGAAGGGTGGAGATCAGGTCCCGGCCTGGAATATATTTCCTCCTCACTGGAGCTTTGATTTTGCACTGAGCCAAAGGTCTAGCATTGTCAAGCTCCTGAAGGGTTCATTTGGCCCCTCCTCAAAGACTAATGTCCCCAGTGAAAGCGTCTCTTTGTCTGGAGCTTTGAGAAGATGTTTTCTTTCACTTTAGTTTCAAACCCAAGTGAGTACGTGCACTTCTGCCTCTCTAGGGATGCTCTGCCTACCCCACCCCACCTTCCCCTTCTCACCCCTCCTCAAAGTTCTTTTACTTTATATTTTAACTACCTGGCATTCTTCAGAACTGTAGCAGGTAGGCTGTGTTAGCTAGGTAGCCCAGGAGGAGAGGGAGACGGTTTAGAGATGTGAAAGCAATTTTATTTGCTGAGGCCAAAGTTTCCACGTAAGCTGGATCAGTTTTTGGAATTTGGTTGAAGTCACTTTGATTTTTTTTTTTTTTTAAACATCTTTATATCCATTGTGGTTGAGATCTGCATAAGGAAGTTCACTTTATTTAAATATCAGCCAGAATCCTTAGTGCTACAGAAGAAACAAACAAGGTGAAAACTGAGTGGGGGTTAATTTTTGTAAACCAAGGGAGATTTCTTAATGAATTTCTCTAACAAATACAATATCTGTCTTTGGCACTTTTGTTGATGTTTATTTCAGAGTATTGTGTAATTCATTTCAACCAACAGGATGGTTGTATTTTGTTGTGTTTAAAGTACTTTTCATGAGTTTTGAATGTATTTGTTTCAGCAGAGGTCATTTTATTGGATTTTTCTAACCTGTGTTAACACCATTGAATGTGTATTTCTTAAGAAAATACCACCCTCTTGTACCCTTAAAAGCATTACTTTAACTGATAGGGAACCAGAAGTTTTTCAGTACAGCTGTTCATGAGGTAGTAACTGAAGATGTGTATAAATGTTACAAAGAATAAAAATATATTACTGTCTCTTTAGTATGTTTTCAGTGCAATTAAACCAAGAAATGTCTTATTTTTTTTTTAAAGGTAGTATTTAATAGGTTTCTGACTTTTGTGGATCATTTTGCACATAGCTTTATCAACTTTTAAACATTAATAAACTGATTTTTTTTTTTAAAGATTCCTTTGTGAAGAGCATTTTTAAATATAATTATTGAGACATTCTATTTTGGCAATGTGGCTGATTAGAACCAAAGTTAAAAGAAAATTTCTGTTATTCTTTAAAGGATCTTACCTTGATTAACTAGGGTGTGAAAAAAATGTGGTTTGTTTAGAAACTACTCTTTTTCAGGAAGAGAAACTTCAATAAGTTAAGATTGAAGAATAGTAAAGAATGAGATAAAAACCACCAACCTTCCTAATACCAAATTGGAAAGAAAACGTAATTGTTTGAGTTCTAAACTGCATTCAAGCCGAACTAAATTAAGTACAAAAATTCTGTTCTAGAACATGTTTTTTTGAAGAAATATATAATAATGTGGTTGTAAATCTAAGTTAAATTATGAGACTCAATGATTAATTCAAACACATCAATAAAAGCATACATTCTTGGCCTTCCACCAATGAGCTAGGGAAGTGGGAAATAATATTAAATCACTTTATTTCTCCAGGACATCGTTTTGGCTTTTCCCAGCCTGTCTTCCGAACCTATGGAAGTATATAATATCAATGAAGTAGCTAGTTGTAGAATGTGGGCTGATAAGCATAGCACCTTTTATCTGAAAATTTTGATTCATAGTATCCAAAAGATTCAACATTCCTAGTCATTAATATCCCCAACTGCAAAATGAAAGCAAGGTACTTTGTAAGCATCACAGAATTATTGTAATAGTTAATTCTTGTTTTGATATTATTGTCATCCTTATTGGGGATTAAATCAAAGTATTTTGGTGTGTTTGGCTCTCTAGTCCCATTGTTAGTTCCAGAATTTGTGCTTTCAAGTGTCATGGAATATGCACAGGACACAGTTGGGACATGAAGATAAACCTCACCTAATAGAGTGGATGTCATTTCTGGGTAAGGTTAACTGTGGGAAACAAACGTGTGTTCACTAAGGAAACCTTAGGTCACAACCTCCAGTTTCCTGAAGGAAATGCCAAAAATGTTCCCAAGACAAAAGGCTGGAAACAAACTGGAATGCCTCTATCCATCTGTCTGTTGAGGCGGAAGGAATGGTTTCATGTTACGCTCACTTCCTAGAGCTTTCATTACAGAGTCAAGCATAATGGAAAAGCAAGTCCGTTTTGTGTTTCTATAGAAGATAAAATGTTTGTACTCCTGGACTTATCTTCATAAGCACAGGAGTGACTCATGACATGGGAGAAGACAGGATGGGGAACTGGTGTTGGTGGGGTAGGGGGAGGTTATTGGGGAGAGGAAAGACAGCCTCACTTGCCCACCTGTGAGCACATTATCCAGTGACTAGATGTGCTTTCTTCCTGGAAACCTTAGGCAGTGCATTTCATTCTAAGAAAGCTAGACAATCATGGACCATGATTTTCCTGGGCAGATGTATGGCAGAGCCCCAATTCTAACCAAAAAGCAAAGGCTAAGATGAAGGAATCTTTGGTTGTATCCCAACTTGAATATCTGGTTTTAATTCAGTATACTCCAAGAAGTTAAGGGTGAGGAAAAAAATCTCAGTAACTATATGTTTATACTGAAATATATGCATGTAAGGTTTTGATTAAAAACCATATGTAGTGTTTTTCAAGAGGAGTAAAACAGACAACCTGGGCCATATTTGGCATATTCTTGTAAAAAGTTCAATTGGCTCAAAATACTCAGGAAAGTTAAGAAATGATATCACATAATATTTTCTTCTCAACAGCATTAAATGTGGTTACTGTTTTGTAGAACATTCAAACCAAGATCTTATTATAAAGATTTTAATTTTACTTCTTTTCAGATTGAGTTAATTTCTGTTATGGACATCGCCTATGTTAAGGATATGCCCAATGCATGTCCTTGTGGTTCTTCCAACCTGGATGGCACTTTTTGTACGATTTTGACTCTTCATGCCTCTGTTTAGTATGTCACTGAGATCTGTCCCATTTTCTAGGCAACTACAACTGAACTAAGTAGTAGCTTCCTTTGGAGCTACTACTTGGAAAGAACAACTGAGGACTTGAAGTTCAAGTCATTCTGAGTATTAGCAATCCCATTTTCAAATGAGAAGCAGGGAATAGATAGTACTGGAGTGACCCATTTAAAAAATATTCTACCTAAGAAACTGTTAAAGATTTGACCTTGTAAATAGTCACTGGCTCAAGACTTAATCTCTAACTAGAAACCATTATTCACCCACAGTATTTGTAATAATGAGTTTTTGTAATCTCTGTATGACATTCAGTTATTCTTTTTTTTAATATGGCTTGTTCCATACTCCTCAGCTGGAATGGTTGTGTTTCCTGTGGACACATAATTGGATCAAATTAGATTTGATCTCATTTATTTCCAGACTAGACTTGTCTGTGTTTTATCTACTTAGGCTATAAACACCTGAGAGAGAAATCATAACCAATAGAAACTTCCATAGGACCTATCAGAGTCTTCTTTCACCATGGACAAAGTAAACTCTTAATCATGAGAAGTCAAACTGAATTGCATCATTTCCTCCAAACTTCCCTCTTGTTCTTTTGATGTGTTTCACATGGTCCAAGGAAAGAACTCAAAATACTTTTTTATATACACCGTTGCGTTCTCTGCCATACTTATTGGAGCTAGAGTCATCTTTCAGAATACTCAAGCAAGCAAGCTTTACTTGAATAACTAAAATTCTTAAATTGTCTACAAAAAAAAGTATTTTTACCCAGTGTCAGAAGAGATAGGAGAGATGAGAGGAAGATAATAGTGTTAGATCTGAATTTAGTTCAGTCTTTTTACAATCTTTGACAAGAGCCAGGGCCCAGAATGATTTTGGTTCATTTTGAAGATCTCCTAATACATCCTACTGGTTGTTCCCTGTGCTTTCTTCTCAGATCCAGACTCTCAAGTGATTCCCTTTTTCCCATGCTCTCTTTTTAATCCCTTCAAGGACCGAAGGATTAAAAATCAGATTTAGCTCTGGGTATAGCCATTTGCAAAAGCAAAGTGTGGGTTGCAGATTTGAATGAAAAGAAATTGCTATATTTTGTTTTATTGAAGCATCTTCATGGACCCAACCAGCAGCTTGTATGTTAATAATGGATAAACACATTGTGGTAAGTTCATACAATGGAATACTGATGGAGTTTGGATGTGTTGTCCCCTCCAACACTCATGTGGAAATTTGATCCCCAATGTGGCAGTGTTGGAAACTGATTGAGTCATGGGGGTCGATCCCTCATGAATGGATTAATGCTCTCCCTGGGGGAGGGGGGATTAATGAGTGAGTTCTTGCTCTATTAGTTCCCGTGAGAGCCTGTTGTTTAAAAGACCTTGGCACCTCCCCTCTCTCTCTTGCTTCCTCTCTCTCTCTCTCTTGCTTCCTCTCGCCATGTGATCTGCTAATGCCTGCAGGCTGCCTGCCACTTTCCAACATGAGTAGAAGCAGCCTGAGGCCCATGACAGATGCAGCTGTCCCAGAATCATAAGCCAAATAAGCCTCTCTTCTTTATAAATCACCCAGTCTCAGTCCAACACAAATGGACTAATACAAATACTGTTGTAGTTATAAAAAAGGAACTACCACTGATACTCGCAACAATTTGCATGAATCTCAAAACCATTATATTGGGCAAAAGAAGCCAGCCACAAAAAAGAACATACTGCATGATTCCACTTAAGTGAAGTTCAAGAAAAGGTAAAAATAATCTATGTACTTAAAAATCAGAACAGTGGTTGCCTGGAAGAAGGGGTTTAACTGGAAAGAGACATAAGGGAACTTTCCAGGCTGTTGGCAATGCTCTGTCTTAATTTTTTAGAGTATTGGTTACTAACATGT